ACATCAGGGTATGAGTACAATGCTACAGGTGCTCTGTACAGTAGCTGTATCTAATTGACAGAAAAACAACAATTATACCCCTGTAGACATTGATTTGATGGTTTGAGCTTGATTTTGGGAAACAATTACATAGAAAATGCTGGTAGAAGCTACCTAAACAACTGGCACATCACCAGTGTGGCTGAGAGGACAAGGAAGAATACACATGATAAAGCTTTTAAAGGGGGAAAAATGCAGCGAACCTGAGACTGAGGCAACGAAACGTGGCAGGAGAAAATAAAATGAGCAATAACGTGGACAATAACAAAGATGTTTCCTGCATTAATTTACAACACCCAGTAATTCAGCTCATTTTAATCTAGCTGAAAAATTCATAAATGAGGCCCAGTGAGAATACAGAGATGCGCTGCATTCTTAAACAAACACAAGCAGCTAGACAAACTTTACAGCACAGCGGGCTTCAGTGTGACACAGGAGGTCACATTGCAACACCAATGAGGCTGGTTTCTAGGCTATTTTGAGGCGACGTCGTGGTTTGAATTTAACTGACTAAAAGTTAATAAAAATGACTTTGGTTGTCTGCCTGCAAAGGAACAACCAAAGAGGCAGCAGGGTGTGAGATGATCATATCGTGTCCTCTCACAATCACAGACAGTTCACACCCTCATACTGTGCCTACTCTGTGTGTGTCTCTGCGCGTATGTGAGTATGTTTGGTAAGAGAGTTTTTGCAGGGAGGAAATCAATGCAGAAAAGCCAAACTTCCTTCCTGTCTGAGCAACATCACACGCCAAAAACAACACACACATGCACACACACTGTCTATTTCCATCTGTCTATCTTACTCTCCCTCTACTTGAGGGCAGTGCACAAAGATCAGACAGGAATGGTCCTGGTGAATGGTACACACACACAAACACACACACAGACAATCCTGTCTAGCAGCAGGGCAGCCTGGGAATGGTCCTCTCATCCAAAAGAAAGAATAATGAAGCACAGTAGAAGTATTTTTTATATCTCAGCAGAGAGACTGTTAACAATGAAACATGGAGAACATTTATATATATATATATATATTATAGTTATCTATAAAAGTTACACAAAGCAGAGGAAGTCATGGCTCACTAAAATGCACAACAGGCCCAAAATGTGAGGTATGATTCTCCTGTAAGGGTGCTCTCTAAAGAAACAGCTCACACAGATGAAAATAATAATTTTGCCTGTCCTCTATGGACCAACGCCCCTGTAATCCTATGATTATTATGCTCTAAAATAAACAAAAACATTTTAAAAAGTGAAACTTTGCCCTAAACCCTCTCCTCAGGCATTCTTTCCTGCTCATAATTTATCAGGAACAATGCTGACCTCAGGTGGACCAACTGTGTCACTGCTGTTGTTTACACTCCATGAAAAGCAGCGGGCATCAGAGAAGACTGAATTATGTAGCAATTCTCCCACAGAGAGAAGTCTGATGGATCATACAATTAGAGAGAGAGAGACAGACAGAAAGATAAAAAGGGGGTTAGACAGACGAGCAAGCAGACAGGGAGACAGATAGATGTGGCAGACAGATAAACAGACAGGTAGAGTGATCCATAATGGCAAAAGAGAGGTGAGAGGGAGACAGATGGTCAACAGACAAAAAGATAGTGAGACAGACAAGCAATAAACAGACTAAATCATCCCATGCTTAATTAATTTGAGAGTGAAAACACTGTGGGGCATCTCGGCTGTTTGAAAGACAGTTAGGCGTGTAACATCACACACAACAACACACTCAAAAACCTAGACACGTGCAAAAACTGGCATGTGCACACACGACAAAGGAACCTTGTATCACCTCTTTTCACAGCTTTTTAGATGAGGAGTGAGTGAAGAAAACAGGGATGAAAAGAGCAAGGAGGGAAGTAAATGATTTGGCCGAAAAGAGGAGAGGGAGAGAGCAGTGGTTGGGAAGAGGGGGGATGGGAAAGAGAGAAACAGGGAGGAAAATTGGGGAGGGGGAGAGAGAAAAGGAGGCACGAAGCAAGGATGTAGCGCAGATCACATGAGAGGAGATGAGTCCAGATGAGGTAGAGATAGATGGTAGAAGAGAATGAGAGAAATGGAGTGTGAGATGAAAAAAAGTGAAGGATGCAGACAGAAAGAGAGAGAGAGGAGGAGGAGGGCAGATTAGATGGAAGAAGGAGAGCCAAAAAAAATAAGAGTAGTTAAATGCAGTGGAGAGGAGAGAGGAGTGGAACGAGAGAGCGCAGGCAGATGAGAAAAGAGGAGAAGAGAGAGTGGAGACGCTGTGACCTCACAATGCTCGGCTGCAATGACGCTTTGAAGATCATCTCAAGGTTGTAAGATAAGAGGGAACCCATCCAGACAGAGGAGAGAGGGGGGGTGACAAAGCAATGGGGGGGGGTTATGATAGTGAGGAGACCAACGGGAAAAAAAGAAAGGCAAACATAGCAAATAAGCAACAAAAAAGGAGAGGAGGATGAGAGGGAGACGAAAGGAACCGTGAAGAGATGAGAAGAGGATAGTGTAATAGTGAGAGCGAAAGAGAGTGATGAAGGCCACAGAGAAAATGATTCAGTGACTCAAGTTGCTATGAGGCATGCAGTGGTGTGTGTGTGTGTGTGTGTGTGTGGATACATGTATTGAGTGGGTATGAGGCAGGCACGCAGTGTGTATTTATCAGTATCGGCAGACATGCAGAAATGCAAGAGTGAATGTTCAAGCATGCATTTGTGTGCGAGTATGTGTGTGTCTGTGTGTGCGCGCATGTGAGTCTGTGTGTGTCTGTTTGTGTGTGTGTGCATGTGAGTGTGTGTGCATCTTGGCAGGAGTGATTAAGTACAATGAGCCTGCCAGGCAGTAAACAACCAGGCAGGCTGTGTTCCATTCCTTAATGAGCTCCTCTTATCTGTTATCCTCTTCTCCTCTCCTCCTTCCATACATCCTTTATTTACTGTCCTTAACATTATCTCCTTCACTCCCCCTCTCCATGTCCCATTATCATTCATCAGGCATCCTTCACATGGACTCATCTTTCAATATTTCCTTGCTCAACTACTTTTTCTAACGTTCTTTTTTTAGCTTTATCTTCCTCCCGCCCCTCCTTACTTATTCCCTCAATTCCCCTAAAAAGAAAAAAGTAGGAGGAGATCACATTGTCATGGTCTTTCAGACTGTGGGATGCAACACAAGTGGGGATAATTTGGTCAAATCAGAAGCCGGAAGTCCTCTGCTTAATAGAATCTTGCTTAATAGGACCAAAGTCTTACAGTGTTTGATAAACACTAAACTAATCACATTCCTAGCCACTTGAGCTGTACTTTTTGTTTAACATGCTAACATGCTACACTAAGACGGTGAACGTGGTAAACATTAGCATGTTAGAAATTACATCGTGAGCATGTTAGCATGCTGGTGTTATTTATTGATTTTGGTGTTGTGCATATTACTTTAAGTTTTCACTGTGCCTCACACTGTGCCCACGCTAACATGGCTGTCGACTCTCAATTCTTATGTTCGATCCTTGTTAAATAAGATGAATTAAACAGTTCCCCTTAGTGACATGTAGGACACAGTACCAGGCACGTTGTATCTATGCTCACTGCTAAAAAAGCATATCACACATAGGACCGTGAACTCTCTACTGGAGATTAGTATTTGGATAAAAAAAAAACAGCATTCAACACTTTAGATAAAAACAAGTCAGTGAGGAATTAAAATTCAGACGGGTATAAAATGAGGTAACACTTAAACAATCAATGCTTGAGATTTAACAGTTACCAAATGCAGCCAAGTATTACCTTCTCCAGATGATTCACATCAGTTTTAAAAATTAGTCAGGTATCTAAGAAAATGTTCCAACCTCCACCATCTGTACACATCTTGGTACACACATAATTTCTGGGCTGCACTTAGCATTTTAAAAAATCCTGCTGAAATAGATTCAAGAAAAAGCCAAGGTAGAAAAATGTAACTTGTTCAATTAAACGGGGGGAAATGTGTTTCTGTGTCCAAGTGACTTAGACAAGTAGCCCACCATGTAAGTGGTTCTAAAAATGTCAAATTGAAATGGCAATGTCCCTTTCTGCACATGTTAACGTCAAACACAAAAACACCTGGTCATGACTTGAACTCATGCTTTCTAATGTGTTGCCTGCCATAAATCGAATTAACAGCAGTTAGCGCTAGTTAATGGGATTAGAGTGGGGACACAAGGTAGGAGACATCAATCTGGTCTGGAAGACAGCCATTAATTTGGTTCTTTCACATCTCACAGGGTCTCCTTGGCCAGCTGGCAGGAGTTGTTGGTCCATGATGATTTACAGTAATATCTCCCTATTTTGCTGCAGTGGTGACTTCAGTAATTTTACAACATATGTACTATATAAGCTAAAGATAATCCATATTGAATTATTTTTACATTGCTTTTATGAAATAAAAAAAAAATCAGTTTGTCTTGGGGAATACGCTTATTCACTTTCTTTCTTACAGAGAGTTAGATGAGAAGTTGATACCACTCACATGTCTGTAGGCTAAATATGAAGCTACAGCCAGCTGCTGATTAGCTTAGCTTAGCATAAAGACCGGAAGCACCGGAAGGGGAAAACAGCTAGCTTGGCTCTGTTCTCCCTTCCAGTCTAAGGTAAGCAAAAGGTCTCCTGGCATATTTAGCATTCATACACGAGAGAGATATATTCTCATATATCTCTCAGCAAGAGGGATAATAAGAGTAACTCTCAAAATGTCAAACTTTCTTTGAAGATCACTATATAAATTATAAAAGTAATAAAGTTAAACCAAATGTTAACAATGTAACTATCAGTGCTAATCTCTTATGTGTAGTGTGTGTCATTTGTAAAACTCTGTGGTAAGGACATATTTTATATTATTAAGAGGATGTAATTAGCAAAGTTCCCTACATCCCTTCTAAATTTCTATGAACATGTGTCTATTAAATATTCTGAATTGAGACATACAAGACATTTAAAATGCTCATAAATTGTAAAATACTGATATTTTATTTTTCAAAAATGCAGCAGAAATGTTTTATGCTTGACACAATCCAGCCATCCGCTGAGTCAATAAACCCATATGAAAAAAATATTCAGTCAATCAAACATCTGTTTAACATTAATTTTTATATCATTTTGTAAAAGTTCTTTGCTTGCCATCTACACATTTTTCGGCTTTCATTTTTCATGTATTCTGTTGACAGTTAACTAAAATCTCTCGTGAAGAAGTTACTTAGGATGAGAGGAGGTTAAATAGGCCTCACTGTGACAAAGCTGCATGTAGTCGCACAGGTGAGGCTGGGAGGGGTGGGGGCTGGGGTTGGGGGTAGAGGAGACAGGGAAGGAAAGCAGGAAAAGAGGATAAAATAGGTAAATTACAATAACGGGGTTAGGGCCTTTGGTTGAGTTAGCGGTTAGGATTAAGGTATGGGAGGTTGGGGTTTTTTATCTTAGTAAAACTACAGTACCACATGTCTGCCACAATGCCAGAATGGTTGAAATTGATTTTAGAAATGCTGGGAGTCTTATTATGATGACACATAGCAGTAACCACGACCGTCCCCCAAGCACTCACTGTGAAGTCAGCAGGAAAACCTCCAGCTTCTCTCTGAAATCCAGTCAATCATTATTTCCACTGGATGGTTGTCAGTTTGATCATTCATTTCACTGCTCTAAAGTGTGTCTTAGTGGCAATTTGAAAAGCAGTATTGCTTCGTTAAGATGGTATTAAGGCTTAACAAGCGGCATGTTTGGAGGCGTGTTTGCCATCAATGTCAAGTCTATCAAACGATCACACAAAGCCGAGGTGATCATCCCTCCTCAGCTCCACCCAGCCTCCAGCTCGTTAATCAAATTTGGCTCCAAACAATTGACACCATGGTGGCATGTAGTAAACCCAACTCCAGACTTTTAAAATGTGGGTGACAGATCCACATTTTTCTACAGGGTGACACTGTGGAGAGATTTTAAGCTTCAACAATTCTTAGTTTGCGAAATGTTTTCGATCTCTGTTGAGAGGGAGAAGGTTTCAGTCAGCATTAGGTAGTTCAAGCAGGGGCGCTTCTAGAATTACTGGGGCCCCTGGTAAGGTGTGAAACATAAAGGTCACACAAATATGAAAAAGCATTCTTGACCTTTTGGGACTTGCTGTTACTCGGGACCCCCTGAATCATCACCACCTGTCTGTTAAGGTTAGGTTAATTAGGAATTACGGGAAAGGCCTATTAGAAGAATTTTAGGAGCAAAGGGGAAAGGAGAACGGGAAGGGGTTAGGTTCAAAGGGTTAAGGGTCATGGTTTTTGGCTGGTGCTCAATCATCAAACCAATATTGCATTATCTACACAGTACTAGCTCATCACCCAATGGTTAAACAAATAGACAGGATGGTGTGAAAAATGTCCTATACTTCAACTACTAAACAAGTATCTAGATGTTTACACAGTTAAGAATTACTGAAATGGCTGTGCATAGCAAATATAGCCTTTAAATAAATGTACTGTGTACATACTACAGTGGGTGAGATAGAAAGACAACCAGCCTTGCTTTAGGACATCTATACAATAATATAGTAATATCTGAAATGAAAGCAATAATGTGGTTAAATAAGTCATGTTTTAATGCAAGAGCAGGTAAATGCTATAAATCATAATATATCATCTGTTTCTTTCCATTCTATTTACAAGAGTTTAACACATAGCTGGTTAGAGTGATTCTTCAGTAAATCTGACAACCCTTCTTCTGCTGAAGCTAGTTTCTGTCTCTTGGCACACTTTCCATTCCTGTGTTTTCCATTTCACTCTATCTCACTTTGTCTTTCTCGCTCTCGCAGCTGTTAAATCCCTCTCAATAAAATCTTAATCTTTTTCACACCATCTGACTAACTTTTCCATCAACTAATGTTGTTTTTTTTAATCCCCTCTTCCTCTCTGTCTGTCTTTACATCCATCTCTTGCTGAAATTTGTTATTTTCTCCACAGCTTAGTTTGATCCTTGGCAGATAGGGCCTTTGATCTTTTAATGGAAAAAATGCTACATTCACATTTCACAGGTTGTTCAAGTTGACATCAGCAGTCTGTGTGTGGTACTCTTTAGCTCAGCCCTGCATCTGCATCTGCTTTGCTCAGTCCCAGCACTGCTTCACTGTGCAGCACAGGTACAGTACGAGATGTAAACTGATCCATAACTGACCCTTTCGCCACAGAGCTCCTCCTCTTACTCCTCAGGTGTAGAAAAAGCAGAAGATTTAATATCCAAAGCAGGTTTGGAGACATTTGATGGATGTCTTGGCTCGTCTTGTTCCAGGATATAAGCGAATGATGCATAGAACTGCATCTCCTGGGATCCAGTTTTTCTTCAGTTCCCAGACATGCAACACACAGCTGTCTGTCTTTTCATCCTGTTACTGAAAATGTCTTTCTGTCACTCCATCTGTAACAATCCTGCAGGGTAATTAGTAGAGGTATTTAAGTCTTTTGTTATATGTGTGTGTGTGTGTGTGTGTGTGTGTGTGTGTGTGTGTGTGTGTGTGTGTGTGTGCGTGTGTGTGTGTGTGTGTGTGTGCGTGTGTGTGTGTGTGCGTGTGTGTGTACGCACGGGTGTGTGTGTGCTCGTTAGTAGCTGTGTGTGTGTGTTATAATTATGTCCCTGTATGTGCAGTTATCTTGCTGCGGTTATACACGCGTGGTGGAGTGTGTGTGCGCTGAGATGTGTGTGTGTGGCAAGTGTGTATTACTATATGGGCTATGGTGTGTGTATCCCTGGTGCGGATTCCCCATCCTCATCCCCACCACTGAGCCGGGCGTCATGGGGGTCATTGGAGTTGCCGGGGTAACAGGGTGTGACCCAGGGGTCACAGGCAGTGATCCTGGGGTCAGAGAGGTCATGAGGGGGACGTCATCAGGTGAGCGGCGCAAGGTGAGGGTATAATCGGGTGGGCAGGTGAGGCGCACGGTGTCCAGTGTGCTGTAGATGTCCTGGGTGTCCATGCCGTCCAGGGCGTCCAGCGTGTCTAGAGTGTGATGGTGGTGAGTGTTGTTCCTCTCGTCTGCTGATGCAACATCACACTCCAGCTGCTTCACCTAAAAGGTTGGATGGGAGGATAGGTGAATGGGTGGATGAGAAAACAATAAGGAGTTATTGTTTTCTCATATAAGAAATAGGCATACAGAGACAGAAAGGGAAAGAAACTGAAAATCAGGCTCATCACCAAATAATTAAATCTAGGGCTGCCACTAAGGAGTATATTCATTTAATTAATCTGTCAATAAGTCTCTTGATTACACAATTAACCCTTACCTTACTACTGTCAATTAAAATGTCTGAAAATAGTGAAAAATGTCCATTACAATGTCCTACAGCCCAAGGTGACATGTTCAAATTGCATATTTTGCCCAACCAACAGTCCAAATCCCAAAGATATTCAATGTACAGATTGATATAAAACAGAAAAGCAGCAAATCCTCACAATTGAAAAGCCGGAAACAGAGAATGTTTTGGCATTAATGCTTAAAAACTGACTTAGATATTAAAACAATTATCAATGTAGCTGCAGATTATTTTTCTGTCAATCGACTAATTGATTTCATCTATAATCAAATCCCATCTTATTACATTGGGCTACATGGCTGAAATCACTATCACAATGTTATTATTATATTTATTATTATTATTATTAATGTTATGTTTTTAAAGTCAATATATCATGGTATTGCAAATGTATTTATGATCATGTATAAATAGTACAACTGAGGTTCAGTGAAATAAATTGCATTCCACAGTACACAGTACCATTTACAAGAATTCATCTGAATCATCAACTGAAAATCAATAAATAATAATACTTAATTACCAAACAGCCTTACATGTAATGAAAACTATTTTAATTCATGTTGTGCCTGAAGGGCAAAAACTGGCTACAACTCAATCTGAATTAGTGTCATTGGCTTAGACACCTGCCACTCAAGCAAGCGCATCCCCAAACATACTCTCAATAAGCCTTTCTGTCCTAAACAAAAATAATAATTTAACCACCATGACACATTCAAATTTGTGACATTATTTATTAAGAGTCTAAAATCTTGGGGTGAGTTATGAGTTTACGCCAGTCAGATTTAGCAGCATCTGGCAGTCAATCATTTGGTCCGGCCATTACCAAGTCAAAGTTACAAACCAGAGTTCAAATCAAACTCAAACTGTATCCCTGCTATTTGACATCATTATCTAAACCACGTCTGTCTGAGCTTGACTGATTTCAATGTCATCGTCTGCCAAGCTTTTGTGTTTCTTCCTAGTCAGAATAATTAACACAAGAATACAGTGCATGACAATAATGTATGCTAATACAACAAGACTTGCTTGATTTTTGCTTGTCATACCACATCTACCATTCGTGAAAAGCACTGACATTTAAAATAAATAAAACACAATTACAAAAGCAGCTGCAATGTTGAACTGCATTCCTGTAGTTTAATTGCCAATTAACAGGATTTGTCAGCTATAAAAGAGGTCTGACATTTAGCACTCACGATGTGAGATTTCAGAGGAACAGAAGTGGCCAAATAGTCAGCGGATGAATTGGAGGCAATTGGAAGCAATTCAAGCAATTGGACACAGCTCACACATGCACATGCATCAAAACAAACTCACAGATACACACACACAAACACACACATTCTCACACTGATAATGTCTGCTGATGACAAGCTATGTTTTTCAGAAGTGCTCTCCTGGCAGCTTCTCCACCGGCAAGAAAGGAGTTCATTCAGACAGCCACACACACAACTTATTTTTAACAATAAGAATGATTATTTTCAATATCACTTTAAATGATTTGGCTATGTGCAAAGACACTGCACACACTATACACACACATGCGCAATAAAAATACAAAAACACATAGCTCACCTGTAATGACATTAGTCCCTCCCCCTGCAGGTGGGCGGCGACATCTGCAGGTGTGATGTCTCGTCGCGGGGGAGGAAGCGGACGAGGCCGACGATGCTCCAGACGCCTCTTGTCTTTCTTGTATAGCAGAGCCGCGAACGCGAGGATGTTGAGAAACAACAGTGACGCTCCCACCGCAATCGTCACTGAGAGTTCAGTTGAGTAGTCCTCATTAGGGACGCGGACCCCGTTTTCTTCCCCACCTTGGCCTAAAGCAGACTCCGGTGGCTGAGGAGTACCTGCCTGTGAACCTGGATGGCGTGTGCTACTAGGCGGCCAACCTTTGGCTAGACGCTTGGTGTAAGAATAAGGGGTGTCGTCCTGTGGAGACGGACTATGCGTGAAGGAGGACACCGACTGGAGGAGCTCATTGACATGATGCAAGTGAGGGACCAGCTGGAGCCAGAAGGAGATTTTGGTGGCACGGTAGTGGTCTCTGACACGGGGCTTCAGGCCAATGTGGAGGTACAGCTGCTCTTTAGGGGTGTACTTGGACCAGGCCACCTCTTCAAAACGGTTAGGTTTAGTGTGGATGAACTTGGTATCTTGAGGAACTGGCTGGTTTGGGTCACTGGAAAGAGGGAAACACAATGAGATATTTATTCACATCCAGATGGGTTGGTGGTTATGTAAATTTCTATATTTTTTATGAATTGTAGATAAAAAAGGAGGGATTAATGATTTGTGTTAGGCATTGCTTTTCATCGCTGAAACTGTCTACAAATAGCTGTAATCACATATAAGAAGATAACAGAAAAAAGAGAAAAAAGAAACCAAACAAAATCACAACAAAAGTGAAGTACCTTTCAGCAGCACTGAGCATCTTCCAGATGAAAATGTGAAAATCGAAATCAAATCACCACAATAATAGGGCAACCAAACACCTAAGAATATTCCATGATCAACAAGGATTAAATAAACCACCATGAAATGCAGAAGAAAGCACACAGTTTCCACCCACATACATTCAAGGCTTATATTTTTTTTGTAAAAGAGGCTTTTAGTGCAGTGATTCACTGTTCTACCATGTGTGATGGACACATTCAGCGAAAGTGTAAATACCAATATTTCATGCTTCTCAGTTTTTCAAATGTCAGACACTCCTAACAGAGCTGCTGAAGACATTTTTCTCAGCTGGCGACTGTCCTCTGAGGAGTACGAGTTTCTCTCATGCTGGCCAGCGGTTTCACCAGCGCTGGCACACATCTTTCTAATCAATATCAAAGTAATAGACAACTAAACAAAACAAATAAACAACTAAAACTGCAAAATTAGTTTTATATTTCCTGTAAACCAAGCTCAAAGGTGATTTAGTTGAATCGATTTTTGTCAACTTTATATGCCTCTTATAACATTTCCGTAGCACATTTCATACTCTGCAGTTTCAAGTGTGCGTGGATGTTTCCTCTCTCTCTAACAAACATAAAACTGACAGATATTTTCATTAGAAATGAATGTGTGCGTGGTATAGTAAAAAAGAAATCCTGAAAAATCACTTCTCTGACACATCCGGACAGGCACTTATTTGCTGATTTACCGAGTTATTTGTGTCAGCAGCAAAAGAATGACGCAAAAAGAAACAGCAGCTCGTCTTCACAGACTTGCCAGTTACACCGATGTGCTCGCTTGTCAATCAACCCCATATGAACGGCACAGAGAGGCAGAGAGCGTGAAGACCTACCGGCACCCAAACACACACAGAAGCTGAGGATTTCTACGCCCACCCAGAGGCTTACAAAATATACATCAGGGAGCATCATATCTTCCCCGTTAAATTGAGCTGTAGCAGAGCTCCATCACAATCTGAGGCCCTCTCAACCAAGTGAAATCTTTCTTCAGATAAAGTTCCACATTGATAATTGAAGTGCACACTGAAGCTTTGGTAATTTTCCTCTGCAGCCTGCTGTGATGGTAATGACAATACAGACTTATGGGCTAGAAACTGCTAACTTAATGCAATGTGATTGCCTTAAAGCGCACACAAAGTTTTTTAATGCCACAATCAAAATATATGAGAGTACTGCACTTTTCTGTATGTTGTGAGATAACATGGCGCTGTGGTGATTTAGATCAAGGTCTAGACTGCAGATGTCTCTGTAAATCTGAAGAGGTCTCAGTGGAGTGAGCCTAGATTGGATTAATTACTGGTAATTACTCACTTTGAGCACTGCAGAAATAGGGTCCATCCTTAACAATTACTTTTATCTTGTATATCATGTCAGAGTGGAGAGATAAAAGGTGCTCTTATCAGTGTGGACTGTCAGGTTTCTAAAGTTTTAATGTGGATTCTTTCTATAACACCTGTAGTTGTCTTAGCTACTGGCAGATCATTTCACTTTCAATTTAATAAATTTGATCTCTAGAAGCTTTTAGCTACTGGCAGACAATTTTAATTTGGATTTAACATGTTGAATAAGCTCTCTATCTCACTGCACCAGTTTTGACCACAAATTGAAGACTGAAGATGCAGAAGAGAGAAGAGAATATTTATCACGCAGGGGGCAATCTTTCATACTTCTTTTGGGACATTACCTTGGCTTTCCTCAAGGACTTTTTCAAGAGCAAGGGGTTCTTTAACTTTCTCAGCCAAGGTCCAAAGAGGAAAAGCTTTGTCAAGATTTTGACATGACAGAGAACCTGTGTGCGCGCTCTGCCAAAATTAGTCTGCAGTGCTGCTTTCATGAATGTATCTAAAGTGGTGTCTTCTCGTCAGACAGCAAGTACGAGACATTTTGAAGGAAAATAATAAAATACTCTTTGCCTGTGAGCTCATTATTTTTGTTGCTCTTAAAAGTGTATTCCTCTAATGCATCATTAAATATCAGCTTCACTTAGTTTAAACTTCTATTCCAAATAAAGCAAAATTGTCTATCTGTTTCTTCCTATCCTATAAAAATGTTACTTATCATGATGAAAAAAAGGAGGGATTTAGGCTGATCTGATTCTGCACGTATTTCCTACAAATTGTATTCAGCAAATGCAAAATAGTTGCATATGAACATCATTTTTAAGAAGTGTTTTTGCTTAATGCTACTTAATAATCAAAACCTGTTCATCTTCACCCCGCTGTTCTTCGTCTTTGATTGTCCTCGCTCTGTGTGAACCCTGCCAGACAACTACACTCCATGCCCATGTTCCTGTTTGCTATCAATCAGTCCAACAAATTAAACTTTTCAAGCACTTTAAAGTGGAGAGGCCCTATGCTGCTGACACCATAGACTTGAGTCTTGGCTGTCTTATTTCGAGCCGGGAGAACGTTTGTTCCTGCAAAATCAGGAATGAGCTGTCCACACTTAAATAAAACAACACACTGTGCTGCCAATACCTTGTCTCTGCACAGAGGCAAAGATAAAAGGATGAAGAATGACTGATTTCGCACTGGCAGCTGTGCATGTTTTTTACACATTTTAAAATGCGATTAAATGGCCTGGCTTTCATTCGTTATCATGAGACATTTTCTACATGTGGGTGGGAATTAGATATTAATAGCAGAAATTAGAAACGGATTTCCGCGCCTAAGAAGGCTGAAATAAAGAGAACTGAATCATGCTAAAGCTTGGTTTTGTCTTGTTTTCTTGATTTACTGGTATAAGTGGTATAGTAAGGCAAAATGAAAAAAAATTTTGGATTTTGCACTGAAATCAGCGTCTCACATCAGTGTATGCTGCAATAGCTCACCCAGTCTTGGCAAAGTTGGTCCAGTAAGTCATGACTACAGCGCTCAGCATCACGTCGTTCTTGGAGAAGTTACAGTTGAACAGATCAGTGGGTCCCACCATGGGCACGCCGAACACGTAGGGCACCTACACACACACACACACACACACACACACACACACATATACTTTAGGATAGCTTACTGTTGGAGCCAACAGATCACATTCATTCTCTTGACAGGAACTGAAACTATAACTGAATCATGTCAAACTCTAACCTCATCCCGGGGAAGGCAGAAACGGCCTTATGTGGAACTGCAGTGAACCTAAACTTAGGTCACAACACTCATCTACAAGTTTGGACTAAAATCCACCCCCACAAATAGCAACTACAAATGCATGCACACACGCACACATTCAGTCTGCTCAACATATGAAAAGCAAGTGTACAACTATACAAAAAAACATAGACTACTTTGTTACTAAATATCAAAGATGTTCCTGTAATAAATTCTAATCATTATAGCAGTAAATATACAGGTAAATAAGACCTGCAGTAAAATAAAAACCATGAACATTTAAAAAACATCATGCTGCAGAGGACTGCTGTATTCAACTTATTTAGCACTTTGAACAAATCAATATGAAGCAGCACTTCAATGGTAATCTTAACCGAGAGCTCCTGATTCATTGCTGAATATTTCTAAAATCTTTGAGAGATTAGTTACCTACAGTTTGTGAAATTTCATCTCTTAACTCCTCTTCTTTATTTCTATGTCCTGTGATGCTTCTTGCAAATTATTAAAGCAATACAACATTGTGACATCGTCTTACCTCATCACCATGGGCAGAGTCAGCCCAGGGAGGTGTAGCGTCACTCTGGCAGTGGTGGTAAAAGGAGTAGAAGTAGGTGGGGGATCCGTACTGAGCGTGGAGGTCAGCTGTGGCGATCGCTGGTGCCACCCATTGGTGGTCTGTGAACAGCGCTACGAGAGTCTTCCTCCGGGTTTCTGCATTGTCTCGGTCCGCCCAGTCTGTGTACATGAACCTTTAGAGTGTACATTTCATACGAGCCAGTTAGTTAATCAATTAATCAGTTAAGATGAAGTCCATTAATCCACCAATCTAGTAACAAGCCTATTATTGTTATGTATGAAAAAAAATTTAATGTGATTCTTGATAAATCCAGTACCATGAAAAATACCATGAAGTAGAGCGAACAACAACACAGCAAGTGTTGTAACTAATGTTAGCTAAGTAGCGGGTTAGCAAACTGCAGTTGCTGTTGTGAGGCTAACATGCAGAGGACAAGAAGGTTTCCCAGAGCACCCCAGCTCCAGACAGAAATACTCCCCTGCTACTTTTAGATAACTTCACAACATGAGGGTATCTTGGCAGACTAGAAAGTATGGTGAATTTCCATCAGAAAGTCATTTAACATATAAACTGACAAACAAATCATGGCTGGAATGGCTGGAAAAATGTTGTGTTGCTGTTGTCCGAGCCACTTTGTTTATTTTCCATCATTATTAGATTAGAAATGCATGCCCACCCTCAAGGTATTAAACTTTATACAATGTATATTTATAAAATGTCATAAGTATGCAAATGCATATTTATTTGAAGGACTAGTTTGACATTTTGGGAAACACGCTTATTCACTTTCTTGCCAGGGGTTAGATGAGAAGATTTATATCTCACATCTGTGCACTTAATCTGAAGCTACCGCCAGCTGAGGACTAGTTTAACTTTAGGTAAAGTCAGGAAACAGGATGGCTAGCAAGTATCTGTCGATTCCTTGCTGAGTCTTTGCTGGTTGACTGGCACCACACAGTGAGACAAGATTTGAGTATGTCACTACTCCTGGCCAAGAAATAGTCCAGCACAAAACCACCCATAAAACCATAAACTTTCAATATTACATAATGGGTTTTGGACCACTTAAAGAAAAAAGACATGACATGTGAATTAGTAATCTTTAGGGTTGTTAATTGGCAGATTTTGTTACCTTTGGACAGAGCCAGGCTAGCTTTTTCCCCCCTCTTCCAGTCTTAAGGCTAAGCTAAGCTAACCGTCTCCTGACAACAGCTTTATATTGAACAGACATGATAGTGATCAGTGACATAGATCAGTGTTCTCATCAGCAAGAAAGCGAATTTGAATTACCCAAAATGTAAAACTACTCCTAAAATACATTCAGACACTCATAGACTCACTCACCTTATGCTCTCTCTCAGTGTATCTCGGCCTTCTGGGTATCCATACAAACTGTCCACAAAGTCTGACACAGCAAAGTCAAAGTCCTCAGCCGTGACACCGTCCTCTGAGTCCACGATGCCCTCCACAAACTTCACGCCCTCGCCCTGATTAACCCCCAGCATCACGTCGTAGTTCAGAAACTCTCCCTGCTCCATCAGAATCTGGGGGTCATCAGGTATAACATCACCATCAATCACAGGGGCAAAGGCTGTATGATATTTGGCCGGTGTAACGTTCTGCTCCACAAGTTCGCGGTAACTCCGGCCTTGAAGGCAGGCGACCAGTTGGGTGCTGTCGTCGATGCCGCAGCCCACCCTCTCGCCAAGCTGCCGGGCGTACTTGCTGGGCTGGTAGTTGACAGCCCAACTGGCTAAAGCGCTGCCACTCTGGATGATGGCTCTGTGGAACAGGTCTGAGATACACATGAAACACACACATGACTATATATATACATATATATATATATATATGGGTGTATAAAGCATATACGGAGACTGTGGCACACACTTTTGGATACACATGCACTCTCACATGCATGCATGAATGCACACAATCATATGATTGCATACTTGGGAGATTGCACAATACATTTGCACATATTAACAGATGCAGAACAAGCATTCCCACAGCAAGCAAACACTGAACTCACATGCATTAGTCAAAAGGATGACAGGTCATGGTTAGAGCACCAAGTTTATGTAGGTGAGGGACTGCATTTAAAATGTTTTAAATAATACAGCTCTTAGCTATATGAGTCATGAGCAGGCTGTGTTATTCAGAGGATTCAAAGACTTATTCAGGCATTTATGCCAGTAAATGTAAACTGTATTGGCCCACTGGACACGGCCATAGCTACAACTGAGGCTACTGAGGTCATGTCCTCCTTTTTTCTGTAAATTTGGGGGTTTTAACAATGTGTGGGGAGTTCTTTTCTACAATTTAAAACTTCCATTCATTATTACTGTATAATGTGGTCACTGTAAGTATTTTAGTATTTTCTATTTAGCCTTACAAAAAAGCACTCTTATCATATGTTAAGCACATTTTACATGTGGATGTAAAACACATTTCACATATGGAGAACCATTTCACATGTGAAAAATCTTCAACATGTGAAAATGTGAATTTGAGCTATTTATAAGCATGTTTTTCTCCACCAGAATGTTATTCCTGGTAGTAAAGAGAATAAAGATCTTTGACACAGCCTTTAAACTTTGTGTTGAGAGACAAATCTGAACAAATAACTGTAGAACGTATTCCTAAAATCCTCTGGAGACCATGAAACTTTTTATAACCCTAGATGTTGTAGCTTTCACAGAACCCACCTGCCTTCCAACAATTACAGGTGCCCAACTGTCTTTCTGCTTATACTCTCTGCATATTATAAAGTACAAAAACCTTTCCTTGCGCTGCACAAGTTATTTAAACCAATGAAAACACACAGGGTAAGCAGGGTTTTTGTGTGTTATTCTTCCTTACCCTCTGAGTAGTGAGACAAGGTGAGGAGGCTGACGCAGGAAGCTCCGGCCCCGGATCCGAATACAGTAACCCTGTTTGGGTCTCCTCCGAAGGCGCCAATGTTCTCCTTCACCCAGCGGAGAGCCTGGATCTGATCTAACAAGCCGTAGTTCCCTTTTGCTGCCTGGTCACCTGTACTAAGAAATCCTACAAACACAGAGGGAGAGAGAGCTGTTGTAATTACATATGGTAGAACAGAAGACTTCCATGTAGAGATCTGAGCAAACTATGCAAAGATAATGGGTCGATCAAAAGAGGCTTCTCCTGCTGACTTTTTGAAAACCTCTCTATCTTACAATGTACAAACACACAGAAACACACAAGGGGGTGATTGGTTGGACATCCTCACATCAAGGCATCCCCACTGTTAAGATCAATTATGCATGAGTCCTGTTTATCATACATTTAAAGAGAAAATGAATTAAAAATGATGTGCCTCCCCTACAATCCCCTGAAAATTAGATCAAACCATCACCATGGTGCATCCATATTCATGTAAGTGAGAATCTACTTACATACACTCATAAACCTACACACGCATGCAGTTGCAAATGCAGCCATCCCTTATTCCCTTTACTGCTGACGATGTTAGGTAAACACAAAGGATCCTAATGGCTCACTCCACTACAGTATATCTCATTACTGCAGAAGCTCATTTCTCTGAGCCTCAAACTGGTCCTGAACACATAAGTATAATGAGCAAGAAAGGCAATGCTGTTAAAGTATCATCACTTATGTGCAATAAAAATTTTTTTTTTTAAAACTCTCATGCAAAATGGACATTAATTCAATCATAATGACAGTTTCAAAATTCCTTTTTATATACTGTATGATGTGCTTTCATAGTAAGATTTGGGTCAATGTTTTAATTTATTTATGTTCTTTATATTTCCGTAGAAACATGCCCCAATTCCAGCACATTACAGTAAGATGAGCAAAAAGATAACTGTGCATAACTGTACACTGCTGCGCATACATGGGCTCACCTCATGCATCCAATGTATAATGGCAGTGATGAGGAGGAGGAGGAAGAAGACAAGGGAAGACACTGCTACTCGTGATGATGATGATGATGGTGGTGGTGATGATGGTGATGATCGTATCGGAGATGGTGTAAACACAGAGGATGGCGATGAAGACAAAAAGAAACATGTAGGATTGGCTTTATTTGGTTCAATACAGCTGTAGCCACTAGTTTTATCCCCAAGGTCAGAATTAAATAGTTATTTCACCCACCGGGTAGATGCAGATGTATGGCATCTTTTAAAATCAATATCTAATGAAAGCCTTGAAAAAAAATGAAAAAAACAGTACAAATCTCATAAACTCTAATCAATATTTTTTTGTTGAATGTTTTAACCTTTTAACATGTATTTAACTCCACTCCATTTTCATACACTATCACGATGCGTTGTGTGTGTACAAAATGTGCTAAAACTGCATAAAAAGATAGAAAACATAATAAGCGCACTAAATAATTTATAGTAGGTACATTTCAATCAATCAATTAATCAATATACATTTTATTAAAGGCCTTATTCAATACATTTATTTTTACAAAATATCTGTCACTTTCCGCAACATAAATCCACATAATCAAGTAGATTAACACTGCTGAATAGGCTGAATCAAATAACTTATATTACAAAAAATACACATTTTATTAACCTGCTGTCACATTTTAATTAATTTCTTCATATGAATTATTAAATACCGTCAACTCCTAATGAGATGGAGGGCATGATTTAACCCAGCCAATGGAATGATATTCAGCTGACTTAATCAATATGAAGGTATACTGTGCTCACAGAAACTACTCAAGACTGATGCCCTCAGTGTAGTCCAGCGATGCCTTCAATGTATGTCTTTAACCTTCCCCTGGCCCTGCTCAGGCTTTGTAATTTTAAAACTTACAGCTACAAAAAGCCTAAATGCTAGGATTTAAGAAATTCGATTTATTCAGCCCGTGAGCTTTGCATGGCTGTCTAAAATTAGAAAAACCACAGGGAATCAGATTTTCCCTGTTCAGAGAGCAATGACTCAGAGACTCGTGGCGGTAAAAAGATCAGATTTGAGTCAATGCTAGTAGTGGAAAAAATGGCTTCAGGGGGTTTATTTCCACAAGGGACACCCATACTGAACATGTTTTCACTCAATAAACAAAAGGCACTCTGGGTGAAAACAGCTCACTAATGGTTTTCACATTTTATAGCTCATTTAAGGATTAAATGATCCTCAATTCAGGTGAATATAATGCAAATGTAACATAACTATAAAATTTACAGTGAGGACCAACGGTATAGACATTTTTGTTCAAGCGAATAGCATTTACAAAGTGTACATTACATCAATGTAATAACGTATAGTTCTTCAGTAATAAATATATGTGTCCCATCCCGTCAAACTGAATTAAAATAACATCAATGGGTGTGGTTTTATATGAAAACATTACTTTGGTTTTTAACAGTGTGATTTAAACTAACAACACGTGTAAACATTAATCCACAACAATCACACCACCATGGGTGATCTCTGTTTATCCATTGCTGATCTTTAGCACAGATCTAATGATTGACCACTGTCAAAGACTAGACTTGCATCTCTTCATC